GAAATTAGAGTTGGAAAGGGGGGAGGCAATCCCAACCCAGACCCACAACAATTGCTGGCTGGTTTTGCGCCTCCCCCCTTTCCAACTCTAATTTCCTTTCTTATCATTCATTGAGTTGGAGGTACCTGATGCTGACAATCCTGTGGTCTCTTACCTACCTACTTCTTCGCATGTACACAACGTTTCCACAATTTACATTGTCGTCATCCGTTTATTCAGTAGGCTTTTATATACTTGTTGTCACCATCAGTCCATATAATATACTTCTCCTGGGCTTTTATGGAACACAACGTTTCTACAATTTACACATCAATACAGTCTTCTGTTTTTCACCGGCTTATACACTACGCTCCTATGGTACATGGTCAACAACGTTCACTAAGTTACATTGTCGCCATTGGTTTAAAGTACACTCCTGCGTTACATGGTAAAACAACGTTTCCACAAATTACACTGGTATCACATAGTTAATATCAAATGATTCTGTTACGATTCTGTTCTGTCACACTTGCCAGTCAAATGAACTTAATTTTCCTATTCCAATGCATTGCCTATTGTTCAGCAGACGTTGATTTTAAAAATACGACTTTGTTAGGCAGCTGTACCACGTAAAGACTTGATACTAATGTCTATAGAAACGGTTAACCACAATTCTCGAGTGTAAGTCTACTATAGAGTTTTATTGATTTTTCATTTTTTTTTCTTTTTTAAGAGTTTAGAGTAGTCGATGCAGACGAATAGAAATAATGGCTCAAAAGCCAAGAGTTTAACACAATAGGCAATTTCGATCGCATGTCATAAGCTACTGAGATACTCGAGCAAGCCTTTTACGACTCCTTTCTACGGGAGGGCGGTGGAGGATGGGATACTAAGACTGGCCCGCTTTGTCCACTTCCCACCCTTCTTCCCCCAATCTCCCTCCCTTTGACTTTTTTGTCACCGTAGTTCTCAAATGCCTGAAAGGGGGGGGGGGGGGGGGTGATGTCGACAACCTCGAAGGAACAAGCCGATCAAATGCCGATATGGCGCACAACTCCAACTGTTAGAAAAATGTCAATTCGAATTGAAGAAATCGGCAAATTGTATAAAGGGAGGTAATCAGAATATAAAAATAAAATTATATATATGGATACAGACTACAGATAAAGTTGTATTACTTTAAAGGAGTGTTGTCCCTCTGATTTCTTTGCCTAAAATGCATTAATTTTTAATACTTTGAATATTAAGAGATTTATTAGCAAAGGCGGTAACTTTAAAAATAGTTTCCTATCTGGAAAGGCATTTTATTCGGTTCTTCTGCGATCAAATGACAACTCATAAGGAACATAGACTCACATCACATTTACCTGGGCAGACGCAAAAATGGGCAATTAGAAGGACAGAATATGCTCAGAAGTTTCTTCTCCACTAAATGGGTGGGGACCTGTTGACTTAAGTGCGTTGGGCAAGAATGAATTTTTTAACATTTACTCTCATACAGTCTGTAGGTCAATTTATTGCCTGCTTATGTAGTAAATGCTTTTAGCCTTTGTGATACTTACTTCGCTTCTTTTTTTTTAACTTTTTTTTCCTGGGGGTGGGGGCACGTCCGAAATAATTACACAGGCCCATATATTTCCATATATGTATTGAAGGGGTGTGGTTCAAACGAAGATGCTTGCCACCCAGAGGCTAATGTGAAATATTTCAGATATTAGGTTGTAAAGATTTGTCACCATGATCTAAGATATTGATTGAAACAGGATTCGATAATAAAAAATAAATGAATCTATGACGGCATTCTATGTTGAATTATCACGTTCTCGTTTTAAAACGGAAAAATTGTGGCATCCAGGTAGGCTACGTTGGAAGAGTTTGGTGAGGGTAGGGTTTGTGTTGTAAGTGCATGCCACGATACTTTAAGTCTCACCCTAGGTGTGGAGAGTTGGCGACTGGTGTAGCCTTTTGGGCACCGTTTTGCTTTTAATGGTTGGGCTAAAATTGGCAGTTGTAATGCAGTCTACAATGAGGGAAGATGTGAGATGACAGAACACGTGAGTGAGAGCTAGGCACTAAGCCAAACTTCGTTGTCAGTAGGCCTGCGTCCTGGGGTTTTGTAGTTAAACCTTCAGAATCGTTTATCAATTTGAGAACCCGGATTCTCATTAGTCGTCAATTGTATTTATCCAGACGATCAACTTGACATTTTGAACAATTTGGCGCGAAATGGTTATTGTTGGTAGTCCGAAAATCTGACGTGATAAATGCACATGCATTCTCGTGTCCTTATTGGATTAATTTTTCATGAAGTATCAATGTTGACCTACATTCATAGACATGGCTTAGTTTGATACCGGATAACCCCCATTGTGTCATTTGCCAACTTTTTGACACGATATGTAGGCCTACATGTTATTCCGTATGTACAATAAGGGTAGTGATAACTTGGCTACTATGTATGGCTGTGATTTGGACTGAAATGGTCGAGATGCCTTTTACTATTTGAGATCAAATGGACTTTGTAATGGTGGGTACAAGCTGATTTCGCAGACTACGAACTTTTTAACCTACAGATTAGGATTTTCGAACGCATTTCTACCGAGATCAGAGGCATATATTGAAGTATTATAATGTCATGTAATTTGGTTATAAAATCATCAACAGGATACCTAATATGAATATAATTTAAATTCAAAATATGGAAGTATGTCAGCTGAGCAAAATTTGCAAATTTTGATAGTGTTTCGGACTACCAGCTGAGCTTGCTAGTTGACGATAAAATTAATTGAATATAATTGATCTATACACAAAAACGTGGCCACTTGTTTGCATCACGTGACATTCACATTCCGATTATCAAGACGTTTTGAAACAAATTTGCATACATTTGTTGCATTAAAATAAGACTGGATATTCTAGAAAAGTTGTACACTGTGACACATGTTCGAGTTATAAATATACGCCTGTAGTGTAGTTTCCATTCGTATTCAAAACAGTTATACATTTTATTACATTGTGTGACACTGCAGACGACTTATATTCACCGTTCATGGCGATATGGCGCACTTGAAGATCGGTAATCGCAACAGTGTCACTTACTATTCCGACTCCGACGACGACTTGTTTCTTCCGAATCCGAAAGTCGAAAGTCAGGATCATTTACCCCAATGGAGTCCAAGACACCATCAACAAAGTTTTGAAAGTATTTCGTCGGATGATGGTCCGGCGTGGAATAACGTACCAGTATGTAAACTGGATCATGCGGCTGCAACTACTTACAAACGTTGCCTTGAACGTCAGGATTCTATAGTGGACGGACTGTTGGAGGAGATTTACGATCGGTGGCATGGGACTAGAAGGGACAGTTTTGACAGTGATACGTTCACTGAATATTCAAGTACATCGGAAGTTTTTCACCGAGCTGATGTGTATAGTAATTGGTCAACCGAGAAGAGACACAGTCCACGACTAAGTCGAACTTTTCTACAAAACCAAAGTGCGTATGAAATTTAATCACTCCATGCTTTAATGAGTTTATCATAATGAGTTTAGTTTAGCCCCTGGTGGGAGCTTAGTGTTTGTTTTACTCAACTGGTTTATCCATTTTATTTGTGTCGTTTTTGTTCATATTCCCATTAAGCACTCAGCTTATTAACAGGGGAGTAAATATACTTCCAGGGCATTATAAGTGCATTATAAGTGCATTATAGCTAATATACTGTGTATATCCTAATAAATATACCTTCTTACTAGGGCATATATACTCAACTGGGCTTTATAGCTAATATACTGTATATATCCTAATAAATATACCTTCCTATTAGGGCATATATATACTCAACTGGGCTTTATAGATCATATACTTTATATGTTAATAGATATACCTTGTATTCAGGGCTAACCTTGTGCTTTCCAAAAAATAGCTTTTCCCATATTTTACACCCTATAATTTTATGAGCAGAAGATTCACGAGATAAAACTTCATTTCATGGAGTTTGAAGTCTGGCGATAAGGTGAAAATCTGGGGATTGGGTGAAAATCTGGGGATTGGGTGAAAATCTAGGGGATTGGGTGAAAATCTGGGGATTGGGTGAAAATCTAGGGATTTTGGGTGAAAATCTGGGGATTGGGTGAAAATCTGGGGATTGGGTGAAAATCTAGGGATTGGGTGAAAATCTAGGGGATTGGGTGAAAATCTAGGGGATTGGGTGAAAATCTAGGGATTGGGTGAAAATCTAGGGATTGGGTGAAAATCTAGGGGATTGGGTGAAAATCTAGGGATTGGGTGAAAATCTAGGGGATTGGGTGAAAATCTAGGGGATTGGGTGAAAATCTAGGGACTGGGTGAAAATCTAGGGACTGGGTGAAAATCTAGGGATTGGGTGAAAATCTAGGGATTGGGTGAAAATCTAGGGATTGGGTGAAAATCTAGGGACTGGGTGAAAATCTGGGTATTGGGTGAAAATCTAGGGATTGGGTGAAAATCTAGGGATTGGGTGAAAATCTAGGGATTGGGTGAAAATCTAGGGACTGGGTGAAAATCTAGGGATTGGGTGAAAATCTAGGGATTGGGTGAAAATCTAGGGATTGGGTGAAAATCTAGGGATTGGGTGAAAATCTAGGGATTGGGTGAAAATCTAGGGACTGGGTGAAAATCTAGGGATTGGGTGAAAATCTGACAATTGGGTGATAATCTGGAGTGTGTAAATCTGTGAATTTTAAGCTCTCAATTTTTTTTTTTTTTTTTTTTTTAAATAAGCCTTAAAACGTCCTGTGAGAGTTTTATTAGGAAAAAAACAATCGGTAGAATTAAGCAACATGTAGGTAGAGATAACATGTAAAATCAGTAGAAATCTGATAACATCGGTATATTACACTTGTATGGTTTCAAGAGCAGTCAGTATTAAAAAAAGTGCAATACAAACATTATTCTATTTATTTAAAATATTGGATTTGTAATAAACTGAAATAGAAATTTGTTGACACATTGATTATTTGTTAGGGGAAGATTATTTTATCTATTTATTTATCTGTTTTAACAGCTGGTTATATAGCTGTTATTCTCAATACTTCATCAACACTTGTAAACTTCCAATTATTAACTGAATATTATTACAGTATATTCTACTCACAATAATAACTTGTCAAAGCTGCATATTAACTAAAGTATTTTAAAAATTGAAAAAAAAAATTAAATTTGATATAAAATTTTTCTTACAATATTAACAATAACAAAATATTTTCAAGTTAAAGAAATAGTAAGGAGGTTTTTATAAAATTTGTTTGTGTGTCAGGAACAATCATAGCATCAATTTGTACCAGTCAGATGTCTGTGGTTCCTGCAATTCCACTAAAACGAAGTGTTTGATGAAGTTATAATTACGAAGGGCCTTGTGTGATTAAAGCATATTTTACAATTAGTGACATCAATACTTATATTTTGTGGAATTGCAAGACATGTAAGATATTAAAGCAATAAGCAGTTTTAAATTGAAAATGGAAAATTATTAAACATATTGCAATTATTACAAGGAATTCTCTTGAAAAACTCTTTGTAAAAAATTGAATTTTAATAAGAATTGTTAAATATTTCATTGTTATTTGTCACACTATGTTGAACATTTTGTAAATTAAAATTTAATACTTTTATATTATCTAACAGTACATCTGGTTGAATATGACAGGATACAAATATAGTCACAACATGGGCATAGGTAAAAAATGTGTGTGAAGGTGGGGGGGCGGGAAGTGCAGGGGCGAAATGAGATGTATCTCTCCAAGGCAAAGACGGAAGAGCTGAAGCCCCTTTAGGCTGGGGTCTTGAGCTGTCAGAGGCCCCAAGTAGCATCAGATTTCAGTTGTCGTGCATTTAGAGGGCTTAATTTTCACTTTTAGATAAGACTTTTCATAGGCCTGAGGGAGAAGGGGGGAGGGGCATAAAATTTTAAGCCATTTTGTCTTCAATTTTTAATTCGGTCATTGATTTTTTCAGGTTTATCAAAATTATACAAGATGAGAGATGACTTAAAAAGAAGCAGTAATCAAATGTCAGCACGACTTATTCGTCAGTTAAAACGTCGAGACCGAAGACTCGCCAAACTTCAGCGTAACTGTGATATTGTGACTGCCGTGATACAAGCTGCTTCTCTGAAAAGACGTAAGTCAGAGCTTTGGAAATGTTCCTTGGTGGTGGATGCTTATGCTTACTAACTAACTCTTCTCTACTCTACTCTCTTAGTGTATTTACAGAAACTTTTACAGGAACCCTGGTGGCTACTTGAGTTACACGCTTACCTGAAGGTCCAAGGTTCAATCTTGGCATGGCTCAAGAAAAATTATTTTTTCCAACCCGGTGTCCTCCTGTCAGTGTACAGGTCGGGGGTGCTGACTTGGTAAAAGTAAAGTGTGAGACAATAAACAGAGACCCTGTATGCTGTCCTGACAAAATTACCCTCATTGTACACTGCATGATGTTGCCCATCTTCATTAGCCAGAATTAGGTGCAGAATAGAAGGACGTAAAACTCCGTTCATTTTCTTTTCTATTCTATAATTACATGCATATTTAAAGAGACTATTTCGCTATTCTGTAAAAGAAAGTTACAAACTAATTCAGTTCTAGATTAATTATTGCTAAATTTAAACATGCGATCTTAGATACTTTTTCTATTTCTTTTTTAACTCTCATGGTTTTTTTTCTGTGCCTTAAAATGTATTCTCCTATATTATTCTCAATATTTATTGATTTGTTTCTTATGTTTTTTTTAAAAGATAATTTAGCTGATTAAGACGGCATTTGATACATTAAACCAGTTTAACCCTTTAAAATACTAGTGGCTGCCTATACAACATATAAGTTACAGTAGGGGATATACTTTGTTGAAAGGGTTAAAAGAGGTTGAAAGAGGAAAACATCCTTTAAAATTCCAATTTAGATTAAAAGTCATTCAGAATTAGATGATCATATCCCTTTAAATGAAATGTTCATGTCAACATAAATAGGGAAGAGGAGGGTGGTTTTAAAATAATCAGTGATTCTATACAAACAAGAAATTGGAGAGAACATCCATCGAAAGAAAATAACAAAACCTAGCCAATTGAGTAAATGAGTGATGAAACCTAGTAAATTAAGTAAATGAGTGATGAAACCTAGTAACTTAAGTAAATGAGTGACAAAACCTAGTAAATTAAGTAAATGAGTGACAAAACCTAGTAAATTGAGTAAATGAGTGAGGAAACCTAGTAAATTAAGTAAATGAGTGACGAAACCTAGTGAATTAAGTAAATGAGTGACGAAAACTAGTAAATTAAGTAAATGAGTGACGAAAACTAGTAAATTGAGTAAATGAGTGACGAAACCTAGTAAATTAAGTAAATGAGTGACCAAACCTAGTAAATGATTAAATGAGTGAGGAAACCTAGTAAATTAAGTAAATGAGTGACGAAACCTAGTGAATAATTAAATGAGTGAGGAAACCTAGTAAATAATTAAATGAGTGAGGAAACCTAGTAAATTAAGTAAATGAGTGACAAAACCTAGTAAATTGAGTAAATGAGTGAGGAAACCTAGTAAATTAAGTAAATGAGTGACAAAACCTAGTAAATTGAGTAAATGAGTGACGAAACCTAGTAAATAAATAAATGAGTGACGAAACCTAGTAAATTAAGTAAATGAGTGACAAAACCTAGTAAATTGAGTAAATGAGTGACAAAACCTAGTAAATTGAGTAAATGAGTGACGCTTGTAAAATGTGCCCTAGAAAAATCTGATTAACCTTTGTCTAGTAGCTATTATTATTGACAACAATGTATTAATATGTTACTATACAGGATATATCTCATTTAAAACTCATTTGCTGAATTTCTGACCTGAATTTGATCTGAGAACTGACATCTGCTACTTTAATGTGTAGTCTTGAATTTTCAGTAAAAAAATAGTGTATGTTCTTTCTAAATTAAGTCCAGTGGTGTTTCTAATTGGGGCCAAGGGGTGGGGGCAGGACCCCCCTGAAATGAGGCAACTTGGAAATTTTTTTAGCTTGTGCTTTTCTGAATTTTTTGTCTGGGGGTAGGGGCTCGTGGACATGGTTCAACCAGTCCCTATGGTAACTACTGGGTTGACTCTTGGAAGCACTGGCCATGGCGTTGGAATTATTTTCAGTTTAAAATTAGATTTTTTCAACTCCTTGCATACAATAGTAAACCACTCACTATTATGAACTTTCTGGCCCAGTTAAATTTACATAAATATATGTATACTAGAAAGTAGGTTTACACTTTTAAAAATTGATTTGTGGCTAGAGAACCTGATCAATAGAATTTCTATTAAATAATATTCAACTTTTCATTAACTATTTTACGCTTGATGATTCATTCATTCAATTTGTTACATGGCCAACATGGTTCATAGTTGTTTTACCTTGATTTGTGAGGGATTTCTGGTTCCATAAACAATGCTTCTGAGTGACAGCTTGCCTCTAAGCAAGGGGTTCCTCATTAAAGGGATTGTAAAAGAGATTTTCTAAATTTTTTATTTTAAATTGGGGACACTGATAGCATCAATTTGCACCATTCCAATTTTCGATCAGACATCTGTGGGTCCTGCACATAAAAACTAAGTGTTTGATGATGTCACTAATCGTTAAGGACCTTATGTGATAAAGCATATTTCGCGATTAGGGATTTCATCAAACATCTTAACAATCCCTACAATGTCTAGTGAATCTGCTCTGCTCTGAACCATTCATAGATCTGTAACTGGCCCAGCTTTATCCCCCAACTCTCAATTTCTATTATCTTAAATTCTTGCCTATAATGTCAGCCCCTATTGAGAATTCTGTGGCCCCTATATTATGATTCTTAGTAGTGCCACCAGTGGCTGAGCCAGGTTATGTCTGAGAGGGGGCGAGGGGGTGGGGGCAGATATCTGAGATTGCCCGAATCTTTACTTACAAGATTTTTGCCCGAAAAACTTGCTTTTGGCGTTGCGAGGGGGTGGCTGCTACCTCCGCCCCGCCCCCCCTAAATTAGATTAGGCCCTACTTGCCTGTAAGTGCGCAACAGTAAAGCTTCCAGACCACAAGTAATCAATTATGGCAGTTACCTCCCTTCAATAGTAAACGGACAAATCGATTGTAAGCCATTCTTTAATCATTCTGATCTCAATGTA